CAATCTCTTTATCGGTCTGTGTGTGCCTGTCTCAGACCAAGTCTGGTCTTGTTAGCCTCATTATCCGCATCCAATATCTCGAGTCTCCCCCTCAGTCCGTGCCCCGCTTTAATCCTGCAGCTGTGTTGGAGTGTTCATTTGTCTGAAGCGCTCAATGCTTCACTCGCTATCTGGTTCTTTGATATTGAAAAGTCAAGTGATCTAATCATGTCAAACTCATGTGCAGGATTCTCTGCAGCACCTGCTTCTTCTTCTTCTCCTGCCTCTGGTCTCCCTCTGTCAGTGCGTCTCTGTAGATTTCTTCCAGCTGTCACCCATGTTGGTTTGAGTTGCAGCGAGTCTTTAATGAGGGGTCTAAAGTTGAGCGCTGCATATTCAGATCTCACAGTTCGGCTCCTGCAGCAGCTCTGTGAACGTACGCATGCAGCAGTTAACAAGGAAATGTCAAGCATGCTAATGTATGCAAACAGTGTGTGCACAGATATCTGCACGGGGCACATCGTTCACTCGAACGTGTGTTTGTGTATTTGTAAGATATTATCCTTTTTATCCTCTTTTGAAGTTTTGAATCATCATAATAGAAAAGTACATCCTGTGCTGTTCTGCTCTCCCTGCAACATGTTCTCCTGTGGACGTGTTGTGATGTTTTCATTCAAACAGATGCTTGTATCCTCCAGTCTTCCACCTCTTGTACAATCAAAGTCTCCAGCAGCGACACTGAAACAACTTTATATTCCAGTGCAAAATGAAATGAGAGCATCAGACTGAAATGAGATGAAATTGCAGTGAAGTATTAGAGACACTAACTGAATCCAGGATCCATTGAATCTTTGATGAATATTTCTGCACTTATATCGATCTTAATGGTTTTTGTGTACGTTAACAGGTTTGTGTCCAGCTCCTTAAAAAGTCAGATATTACATTTGGGATCTAATTACAATCAGAATGACTTTTATTTCTTTATGATTTAATGCGACACTCATTGGGATTAAAAGACTGAGTCAACAATAGTTCAACAAGTCTGAGATTGACTGGACATTTGATTTTACAACATTTTCACCAGAGGATTTTATTATATACACAGAACATCCTGTTTCATTTCTAATTCAAATGCATATTTTTTAAATTAAAAAGACGACAGATGGACTAATCCAGAACCATAAACAGGGATGCTGCGGAAAGCCACAGTTATTTTAAGGAAGGATTATTAAGATTCAGCTGAAAAACGCTTGTTGAACACACTGGAATATACAGCAATGACAGAATAAAATTGACACCTGCAGCTTTTCACAAACTCATTCTCAGTCGTAGGTGCTCGACATCTCCACAACGTTGTTGTATAAATGTAGCAGGAGTGAAGCATTTTCAAACCATAATATATAAGAGCGGATGGAACCTTTACATTGTTAAGATAGAGCCGTATGTGTTTACCTTCCCAGGGAGCTCAGCACTACGCTCTCTCTCCTCCTACATATGGATCTGTACACATCAGGGAGCTGCCCAGTCCAACCACTCTCATTTATCTGGCCTCTGAGCAGCAAAAGGCTTTGTTGCTGTATTGTTTTGTGATTCCCCCCCCCATGACTGTGACAGACGTCTTCTCTGCTCCCCTGCATCAGGATAGGTCGCCGTCAATGAGAGAAGACGCCATCTTACATCCCGTCTTATTTTTGTTACATCGCGTAACAAGGGGGCAAGTTTTATGAAAAGCCTTTTCAAAAGGGCGAAAGTTCCCTTTATTGAAAACTGTTTGTTCTCTGAAATGTATTCACGACGACTGCCACGGTCTCTCCTGTGTGCTATGAGCCATGCATTCTAATATTCTAATACACGGTCACCAAATGAGAGAATTAATAATTGACATCCTGCATGAGGAAGCTCTAATAATGTTGTGTCTCAGCCAGTAGCTGCTCAGGGGGAAATAAACAATCTATTTATTAAATAAAAGCCAACATGATGAAGGTTATTATGCTCGGTCACACACATGAAACGGGTTCCTTTTTACATTTTTAAAGCAAATCATGCAAAGCATCACAGATTGGACTGCTCACAAGGGATTTTTCTGCATTTGCAATTTACTATTGAGGATAAAATGTTCTGTCTTTCCATGACGTTAATGGATTTATACTTATATTTATGCAGGAACAGTAAAAATACAGTTGAGGACGTAACAAGGCTGTTTTCAATCTAAAGTTATCTGTGTATGTATGTGTGTGTGTGTAGCTTGAGGTGGAGAGGATATGACTTGGTGTGTTATTGATCACAGACAGGTAATCACCTGCTCTGATCCTTAATTACACATATAGATTACCTGAGGACACGGCAGCAGCAGCAGCAGCAGCAGCGTCTGTACGACCTCCTCTGTAAGTGACAAGGTCAGTGCAACGACGGCCTCAATAAAACCAGTGCAGAGTCGACACAGTGGAACATCAAGTACATGAGGCCCCAGTTTCACAGCCGCTCCACGAATAAGGCAAAAGATAATTCATGTTAACAACTGAAATAATCCCAGTCATAATTCACTGCACAGGCTGGGAGTCTGGCCAGTGAAAAACCCACTCATTCAATGTGAATAAATGACACGGTGAAAGGAGCAAATAGCCGTTTATCAAGTGATCGCAGGCTTAAAGATTTACATCACGTTTACCGACCTTCTCTTTGTTGTAGCCTCTGCTGCTGAAGACACGGTGAGAGAACCAAAAAGAATACATATAGGGAATCATGTCATTTGTTATTTTGCCAAACGACTACAAGTCCTGTATGTCTGCTGCAGCGGTGGAGACCACCGGTGTTTTTAAAGTTCCTTAATGTCACAGTGAATCTGTCAGCTGCTGCTTCACAGCTCCCCGCCCTGCCAGATATATGCATTCCTCGACGACCGCCACAGAGTCTTTACGAGACCAAACTGCTTGGCGTGGAAGTGAAATGCTGCAGCAGATGTTTGTTGCCATTCTGGAAGGTAAAGCTGAGGCAGCTGCATGTTGTCGGGCTCAGGAAACAGTAGAATCACAGTTAATTAAAGGCTGCGATATGTAACGAGGGCTGCAGGAGGCCCGGGGGTGAGACCTGGGGTTCGTAATGCACGACTCCTTCTGCTCGCTCCCAATTTATGTGCATTACTTCTCGTATATATTCCTCCACATCCCGTCGTCCCAGACTCCTCAACACGATCCATAACAGACCATTTTAAATCTCTGCAAAACATCATATTATTATAAAGATAAAGGAGTTAGATTGAAATCTGTGTGTGTGTGTGTGTGTCACAGACACATCACTCACTGAGTGCCAGACAAAATCAGTTCATAAACCCAGACAGGCCTGGAGCCAAGCCAGTTAATTTGCGTGGGAGCGTGTGTTTGTCTCCATCTTGTGTTTAGCATGAGTGTGTATTTCATGACTGTGTCGAGCAGACATCAGAGCCCTGCTGTTCATGGATCCTTCAGATTTTACAGATTAAACAATGCAACATCAACTAAATATGTGAGTGATGAATTATCTCTATTAACTTTGATTTGAGTGTTTTCTTTATTTCAGACGTGAAACAGAAGTCTGGGAATTTCCCTGAGATTTTCTGGAGGGGCTGTTTGTGAGAACACAAAGGTCCAAGTCAGTTTCTGTGGATATTCTCCAGAACTTTTCCCGCCAGCCACCGAGTCCAGAGCCCAGAAAATGTCAGAGTGTGAGAATACAGCAGGAAAATGTCAGAGCGAGCGAGCGGACGTGTTGATGATGTCTCTTACAGCTCAATCGGAGAAAGAACTCAACTTAGAAAAGACCACGAGACTCAGGAGCCGTCGTTGATAAGTGCTGATGCTGGTGTTAATGTGCCCCCCCCCCTCACCTGAGTCTGACCTGAACAGTCTCCTGCTGCTTCTTCATTTGACAACAACACAACAACACAGACTCACAAATCTGCTGCTGCTGCAAAATGGTTTTAAAATCTCCGTGACGTTGTACAAAAGCAACAAGTGTTGTGTCTCAGTCCACTGACGATTGTGCGCTGCTTTGTATTCCCTCTTTTGCACATTTCACTCTCTTTCTTTCGTGGCTCGCTTTAATAAGTTTGCATTGTGATGACTGTGATTTCCCCCAACGCGCTCTCGCTCTCCCTGCGTCTCTGTGTGACAGCGCTGCAGCGTGACAGTTTCTGGTTGTTCTGATGTCAGTGCTTCCCCTCAGCTTTCACTCTCAGCTTGTAAGAGCTTAACCAGCGGCTCCCTGTGAGCCCGGGCGTAATTACAACAGCACAACATCGGCTCAGCTATTTTGTCTGACAACAAAACCGCTTCGCCGACAAAGACATGGTGGTTTTATTCAACGGAGGTTTGTGAGTGTTGTGTTGTATCTGTGTGATCATGCAGTACTTATGATTTATGTAAAGACGTGTGACATCTTTGTTCTTGTCGTTTATTTCCACTACTTTCAGTATATTTAACCACGTTACTACTTACACACGTCTGTGTGTGATGTGAAGTATTTTAGCACATAGGTACTTAACCTGTTGTGAGTATACTTTAGCAGTGCTCACCCTGTGGATTTATTATTCTCTTAGCGTCCTCATGCATTCAAACTAAACTTTGAATTTCCTGAAGAAAATGCAGCGTAACAGCTGCTGCACCACATTTTCCTTTATTAAAAACTGAAATATGACGATGACCTTTTGTTATTTTACTGTCTGTGTCCCCGGTTTGGTGAAAAATGAACAAAACGTGGAGGCTTTAGGATAACAAACCAGATCTGCACAAAATCTCGTCTTCATTTCATCTCACTCACACAAGTTTATCAGCCAATACTGAAAAAACCAAACACAATATGTCAAATCTAACACGTGGGAAGCTAAATTAAAAATGTTTTTAATTTAATTCGCTGAGTTTAATGAGTTTGCACCAAACTTGAATTAATGAATAAAACTAAAGTGAAAACCATTCCACTAAAATGAAATGTTCATATTTGCAAGGTCACGTTTTTGTGCCGGATGCTCATTGGTCTCATTCTTCACCTGTGACCTCCTGTCACCTCCTGCTCTGATGTCATCACGTCAAACACAGCGCGTGCGTACCTGCCAGCAGGTGACCTCGTGCGTCAGCGACCAAACAAGAACCTGACGAAGGAAACTGGAGTTGATATCGCGGTGGAAACTACAGGACGAGAGGGTGATGAGGATTTCACACCCGGGAGCACAGCTCCACCGATGCAGTGTTTGGAGACGCGCAGGTGACTCAGCGCACGTGTTGCCCTGAATCCGCAAAGTCACACTTTAATTGACGTAAAGAGCGTGAAGCTGAGATGACGCTGAGATGAACCTGTGCGTCATGAGCTCCTGTAAGTGTGAACAAGTTGCTGAACAGTTGTTAAACTCGGGAGAACCAAAGCGCACGGGACGCGTGTGCGCGTAATGCGCAGTGAAGCGCCAGGTTACAAACAACACTTCACGCGTGGGGCCTCCACTGAAATGGTCGACGAGTCAGCTCCGCGCTGTTTTCTGGACACGGACCCGCAAAGCTCAACTAAAGAAAAGCTTCACCTGTAAAAACTCACCTGAGTGGAGGGACGCAGCCACCAACACTGGACACCTGCAGCCAAAGGTGAGACACGCGTTCAGCCTTCTTCATGGTGCCAGCCTTGGCTGTTAATGGTTCTGAGGTGGCTCCTTCTGAGCTGGTGCTGAGGTGTGGAGGATTGTGCTGTGTTTAAAAGTTGTTCTGATGACGCTGGGTGTGTGTGTGTGTGTGTGTGTGTGTGTGTCTCTGTGCGTGAGAGGTGGAGACAGAGACGAGGATTTGCATGGAGACTTTATTTTGAGCTTTATTCGTCGTTCTTGTGAAAACATCCACGTGTCTCCCACAGTCTGACTTCACCACGAGGAACACGTGAATGCACAATGAGCTCAGACGAGATTAGAAACAAAACTTTTCCAAAAAAAAAAAACACAAAGCAGAAGTGATTCCTCGTCACTTGTGCTCAGAGGAGTCATCACTGCATCCTGACGTAACCCAGATGAAGGTAATTGCAGATGATGTAATCGTGTTTCTGATGTGAGTGATCCACCTCAGAGCAACATTGTTCAAAACCAGCACCGGTGTTTAAACCGTTTATTCCTCTGGTATTGAGATTGTCTTTCCAGGTGACGTCTGATAGGAGTGAGTTCCTGTTCACTCGTATCTCCAGTGTAACGTTCACAATAACGATATTTGCGGCAGCGGGTTACAACTCTTGAAAGTGTAGAAATGACGTTTACTGAGCGTCGACTGTTTATTTATTCATGTTGCTCATGTGTCAGTGGCTCAGCTGAGGTTGTGGTTACCTCCCACCGCTCGCCGCTTGATTCCAAACCGTCATTAAAGATGTAGAAGTGTGAGAATTCCTGTCTAATGTTATATGTATGTAAGTTAGAGACCTTTATAACCCTGTGATAAATATCAAGCTGTGGCGTGAAGGAGGAAGTACGCTGTGCCGCTGCCTGAGTGAATTAAACTCATGTATAAATGATCGCATGGGTTTTTTCATGAATGTATTCTGCAGAGAAAGAAAGGAGAGAATAAAAACAAGGATTAAAAGACAGAGTGAGGTAAAAGAAAGGTGGGACATAAAGTCTTGCTGAGGAACCATCGCCCCGCTGAGAACGATTTCATTAGTAATTGATCGAAGCGTTGAGGCATGTGTGATAAAATGCTCGACAGATGACTACATTACTTTGCATTGCAGACATTTTGGGATTTTGATGGTTCCAGACAGAGAAATTATGCAAAAGCCGAATGCTCCCAGACACCGGTATCGAGTTTTCTTTTTATCCGTCAACCTTTAAGACGGATGAGAGTCTGGGATCATTCGTTAATAAAAACACGGAGAGAAAAGAACGAGAAAACAACGTCAGCGGTTGGTGTGAAATCACAGACTTGATACAGAACCTGTCAATCTGGAACGTAAAAGTAAGCAGGTGAATACAAACTGTTTTCCCATCAGCTCTACGCTGCCGGTGAGATATTAACAAGGATTCATCAAACCAGACAACTGTGCAGCCTGGACTTCACATAAGATCTGTTTTTTTTAATTTTTCAAATAAGTTATTTACACTCGTCTGCAACCGTCTGGTGAGTGAGGTTCCATGGAAACAGAAGAACACAGCTCCTGATGGAAAGATCTTTTCACTGGAAACACGTTCTGGATTTGAGCGGTGACTGAGAATCCTGTGGTTTAAACGTCACACATCAGATGAAGTCAGATTCACATGAGGTTTATCTGAGCTGGCAGCCGACGACAAAATCAATATATACGTAAACAGCAGCGAGATGATTGTTCAAAGAGACATTTGCTCTCTACTTAAAGGCCCCATGAAATGAAAACTATATTTTTCCAGGTTTGATCTTGTGTAATTTGCCAACATCATAGAATTTTAAATGTGGTTTGATAACTCGTCCTGCACTAAAAGGCGTTTATTCATTTTGCATCTGTAAACATTCCGTCAGTTACTAATTAATGAGCAAACGGGGACTTTCTGATTGATCGGTTTAATCCATCAAACCCACCATGACGTCACCCGCTGGTTTGTGAGCCGCCATTTTGAAACCGGAAGTAAGTGCAGTTGAAATGTAAACACGGACCAGGAGAACAACCTCCACTGCTTCTTGTTTTGTAACTGGAACACGAGGAGTAATGAATTTACTGAATTCCACCATTAACTATGTTTCTGTTGTCACCAACAATCATTTTCTTAGCTGTTGTAAGGAGGCCTCTTTGTGCAGCCTCATCCAAACACTAAACTCAGGGCCACATCCAGAGCAGTTCAAATCAGAGCGACGTCACTCCGGGCTAAAGTCAAAAACAGACGTCCAGTCGCCTACGAGAGGTCAGCCCGAGCAGGGAGGCTAATCCGAGAGGCAGAGGCAAGAAGGCAGGTCGGATACAGGCAGCCGGTCTAAACGCAGGTGGCAGATTACAGGCAGGTTAACAGGAACAGAAAGCATGCAAACAGGAATGGCACAAAGCAGCACAGACAACACACTGACAGTAACGCAAAGCAAGACTGACAAACCGGCGAATGGGAGCGGGAGAGCGGCCGTGTGTACGCTCTGGTTCGACAGATGTGGCCTGACGTGGGAATAAGGGACAGATGTGCAGCACGGTCAGGAGACTGGCAAGAGAGGAAAACCTGTTGAGGGCAACCGGTGAAGAGATGTGGAACGACAGAGTCCACGAGGAACACGAGAGGCATTTCTGAATCTTTCTGTCTGTACTCGAGTTCTCACGCTTGTGAAATGTCCCCGAGCATCGTCCCCCCCCCCCTCTCGCTCCGCTAATTCTATCAGGAAGGCTTTGGAAGCAGAATTGTCTGAATACATCGAGACATGGCAGCGTATCAAACACCAAATACATTTCATCCCACAGATATTAATCCGTTAACAGTTTGTGCTGTGTTGTTTTGAGGCTTTATCCTTTTGGATTTTGAATATGTGGAGCATTAACTACAATAATGAGAACTGGAAAATGTCCATGAATTCATAAATATCCATTACCTTGATTTGATATTTGAAACTTTTCTCAACTTTGATGAATCGTGTTTCCACTAAAGCCTCCAACGCGTTTGAGTCTACAAACAATTCCACTGGAACTACTTTCCTTTAACAAAACTCAAGTTAAAACTTCAGATTCAGGGTCAGATGTGATATTTAACACGTGTTCTGAGGAGGAGTTGTACTCGGGTCCAAATCAACTTCTTGGAACTGGAAACCCTTGATCAAATATTAAATTTAAAACTATTAAGACTATAACATTTTATGTCACTGTGGGAAATAATGAAGAAAAATAGCTGAAAGTGAAAACGCCAGCTGGATGAACACTGAGGGAGAAGGTCTGGCTCAAGGTCTCAGGAAGCACGATGTTAAAAACACAGTTTTTTTTTTTTCAATCATTGTTCAATGAGCAGCTTCGTCAGAAGACTCGGAGTCATCAATGGTTCTGTGTGTGAAGAGAACAACCTGGTAATGAACTGTCAATTAGTGCGGATAACAAATCTAACAAGATGAGACGCAGACATTGTACGTGCGTGTGTCAGCTGTCAGGAACTGTGTGTGTGTGTGTGTGTGCGTGGATGTTTTGTCTTCATGTGTGTAGGTGTATGTCAGTGTGTGTTTTGAATCTTGGTGGACAGTTGTGCGTTTGTGGATCTTTGTGTGTTGACGGGCTGACACAGGGTGAGCATCACCTGATGTGACTTAACTATGGACGCATAGTGTGTGTGTGTGTGTGTGTGTGTGTGTGTGTGTTTGGCTAATGAAGCTAACAAGAGATGACCTCTGTGTGCGGCAGTGAGAAGACGGTGAGAGATTATGTGCATCAGTTCATTTTGTAGTGTGTGTGTGTGTGTGTGTGTGTGT